TGTGTGTGTGTGTGTGTGTGTGTGTGTGTGTGTGTGTGTGTGTGATTTATGAGCATAAATGTGTGTTTACAGATCAGGACAGAGGTTTAATTACAGTCATCAGTGTCACTCTCCAAAGAGGATGTAAGGAAACGTGAGTTTGACCGTTTTCAGCTGTTTGTTTGTTTCGCTGTGTTCGTGTGCTCGTCACCGCTCTGCTTCTGAGCTGATTTGAAGCTGTGGTTACATTCACACCTCGCTGCTGCCAAAATAAAATATTTCTTTGACTGAAGCACCTCAGCCTCTCTGACTCAGATGGGCTCATTTCATCCTGCTCGTCTTCAGCGTCCGGTCTGTTGCGTCGGATGTTTGACCCACACACAGAAATACCAGTTACATGAATCTAAGAAGTGATGAATAATGAAGTGAAACATGTTTTAAATGTCAGAACTTTTATCTTTTATTTTCATATAAATATTCTTGGTGGTCAGACTCGGTAGAACAAAAACACTGAATGCATGAAGGTTTAAAAACGATGGTGTATGTACAGTTATAAATACTCTAACATATATTCACAGAATGCAAACACACAGAATATATTTTTATAAAAACAGCAGATACTCCCCGCTGAGCGTAGAAGGAAACAGCAGTGCATTAATCTGCTCCAAAAGATCCTTTTACTAAAAACTGAACGATTTAGACAAAATCATTTAATAGAGAAAAATAATGTGTAAGGAGCACATGTCTTATGCCTACGTGATGAGTTTAAGTACAGTTTAGATTTAGGGACAAATGAATGAAAACATCGGAGGTGATTTGTCTTTAAATTTTAAAAAGCAAGATTCAAACTCAGAGGTTTAGAAACGAGTTAGCACGTTAGATACGGATTCTAAATAATTCAATATTTTTATGTATTACAGACAAAAAGAAGGTTGTCAGTAGTTGAAAAGTGCAAAAACACAAAGTGATGGCAGTAAGTCAGGTCACGCTTTAGGCCTCCTCGATGGGTGGGCTGTTGTAGCAGCCGTTGGGGATGGATGCCAGGATCTCCCTGAGGTTAGCGATGTCTGCCAGGATGGTGTCGATGTCGCGGTTGATCGAGTTGAGCTGGCGCATGTGTGCGGCCTCCTGCTCCTCCATGTTTCTGAGTCGGGGGCTCAGATTGCCCTCCACAGCTTTCTTAGCACCAGCCAACGAGTCCTCCAGCTGCTTCACCTTCTTTAAATCCACAGCACTGGACTGGTCTGAGAAAAGAGAGTAGACGCGGTGAGGAAGCAGCTCGTGCTGCCTCAGAAGGGCACTCAGGCCTTTCTGGAGATTGTGAAGCTGACCGCGTTAAAAAGCAACGTCTCCAGGAAAATAAATCTCCAACAGTTGATTCTGTTCATCTGGACGTAGCGTTTCCCACAAACGCTACGTCCAGATGAACAGAATCAACTTTCGGAGATAAAAAGCAACGCGTTGCAACTTCATAAATAAAACAGGACTTAAGGTTAAAATCCCAAAGTGTGAGTCAGATAAAAAGTGTACGTACTGGTTGTAGCCAGCAGACCCTGGACCTCTCGCAGAGTTTTCTGCACTTCCTCGCTGACCAGCCTGGCGTTGTTGTAAGCTCCACCCGCTCCCAAAGACGCCTGCAGGGGAAACATTTACATCTTTAACCCCGTGTCCATCGTTTTATACGAGTGCGTCTGTGACAGGTTACTTCAGTGTGGTCAGTTTACCTCCTGGGCGTCAGCATGCAGGTTTTCAGCTTTCTCCAGCTCGGAGGCCAGATCTCCAACAACGCCTCCCGCCGTTGTTTTCAGGTTAGTCGCCTCTCTGTTCAGTTTGGTAGCTTCTTCCAGTATATTGTCATGAGCCGGCAAAGATGCAAATTCTCCCTGAAGGGTAAAGACAAAAGTCTCCGTTCAACTTAAAAAATAACCAATCAAACACATTTGTTTGAAGAAATTTCACAGAGTAAATTCTACAGCTGCTTTCTTCAACAAACGTAAACTTGTCCCTGACGTCTCGCCTGTTTTATCATTTCCAACATAAAGAATGCGTCATAAAGTAACGCCACAGTATTCATGCTACCTCCAGACCAGTGACCACGTCCCCGAGCTTGTTGATGTTTTCCAGGGCGTTATCATAACTGTCCTGAACATCTCCCAGGATGGACAGCGTTGCATTATTATTGCCAGCAGCCTGCTGGATGGTGGTCTTGATGTCAGGCAGACGCTTGATGGCAGCGTCTGCCTTTGTTTTGCTGCCTGCGATCTGCTGGTCGAAGCCTGAGAAGGAAGAAGAGTGGCATCAGCCTGCCGCTAGAGTTATGGTGGTGAGTGCCGCCCCATCGCTCGGTGAGCCTACCTTTCAGGGTTTTCAGGGAATCTTCTAGCTCATCACTTTTGCTGTTGATGAGTTTGATGGCTCCTTCGGTGTCAGCTTTGGCAACATTGACTCTGTCCACGAGGCCGTTGTACTCCTGCAGCGAGGGATTGAGAACAGAGGTGTTGATTGTTAAAACGTCCAACGTTACAGCAGAAATAAACATGTTTACTGATACTCAAACGATTTTGGTCATTTAGCCATTTCCTCCTTTAACTGGACATCTCCTGCTCATCAGAGGTGAATCTGTGACACTTTCGTACCTGCTGGGCAGCTTTGCCGTTGGCCAGCAGGTCCTCAGCGACAGCCTTGTCTCTCAGTATGTCTTGCTGCAGCGCATCAATGCCTGCGAGGTTCTCATCCATCGCCTCTGTCACTCCATTCACCCTGGAACGCATCGCATCAGTCGCCCCCTGTGCATCATGGGAGAACAAAGGAGGTTAGAGACACTGAACAAGTAGATGATAATAAAAAGAAGAATCTGTCCTCTCCAGCCATCACCTGCAGAGATGGGGGGAGGTTTTGCTCCATGTTGGCGATGTCTTTCAACATGCCGTCCGCCATTTTGCTCTCCTCTATGGCATCGCTGCTTAGACGTTTGGCTTGGTTCTCAAAACCCTTCACCTGAGCTGAAGTCTGTTCATACCTGGACACACGCAGGTGGCTCTAGTTTAGTCTTTAGGCACCGGGTTTAGATTCTGCTGTCATTAACAAATCTGAAGCGTTTACATGCAAAGTGCACGTAAATCAACAAAGTGGTTGATTCAGAGTCTAAAAGAGTCTTTGTCTCTGAAGCTCAGAGGAGATACTTACATGGTTTTCAGGTCTCCAATCAGCTCTTTCACTTTGTTCTCTCTGTTCATGAGGTTTCTGACCAGAGTCAGACTCTGCTGCGAGTCACTCAGAGCCTTGTTAGCGTTTCTTTCCACAGCGTCTGCGAACGTCTGATGACTGGAAGGCAAAGGCGTCGGCGTTAGAGACGGTGGGCAACGTGGACCGGTCTGCATGGTAGCCAAAAAACGTCTTACTGATTTGTGAAATCAGCACTTACTTGTTAGCCAGGTTGGTAGCCGTCGTCACCAGTGAAGACAGGTCGTTTGAACCCAGCGGAGAGTCGCTCGGAGGTACATCCTGAAAAATAAACAGAGGTTAGACAAGAAAACATCGTTGCCAATTTGTCAGCTTCTGTTTTCCCAAAATTTCTTGTCTTCTCTAAACCTTTGCCTGTTGCCTCTAAATACACGCACACCAAATACAACACAACCCCTCTAAAATAAAATAATGATTCTGTCAAACACGACGTGTTCATCTCTGCGTCTGTCAGCGTGGAGCCTTACAGCGAACTCGAGGTCATGTTTGGCCTTCTCCAGCTGGACTTTCATCTCCTCGATCAGCTTCTGGACCTCCCCCACCTTCGTCTTGTACGTCTGTTGCTGCAGTTTGATGTCAGCGGCTGCGTCCTTGATGTTTAGGAGATCCTCCTCCTCGTCCAGCTGCCGCTTGCTGATGAACGACAGGCGGTCCTGCAGCCTCTTCTCCACTTCTGTTACAGACAAACAATAAGAAATCGACTTTATTTTAACCAATGAAACCTTCTCCAGTACATCTGCTATGGAAACCTGAGCGAAACCATTCGGCTGCAGGTCTACTAAGTTCTTCTAAAAACTGCAAGTTCACTTAACCAAGTTATTGAGTAAAAATTTCTTATTAAAGCTTCTACAATGTGGATTTTTATTTTTACCAACTGTAACTGTGACAAACAGCAGCTGACTGATCACTTATAAACATAGGAATTAGTACATTTTCCCATTATACTCACATATTTTACTTTTAACATACAAGAAGTCACAACATGTTCAGCAGTCACAGGTTTAGTTTAGTGTTTGGCAAATTGGTACTGGGTCCTAAAAGCCTTCCGGTGATGGCACAGATAAGGTGCTGTCTTACTTGTGAGTTGCTTGGCGTCTTCCATCATGTCGTCCACCTGCTCCATAGCATCTGTCAGAGCGGCCTCTATCTCCTTGTTATTAGCTGGTTTCAATCCTCCGTCCGTGTCAGAGAACAAAGACTCCAGGTCCCTCAGTTTGGCAGCATAAGCAGCCATCTGAGCCAAAAGGAATACGTTTAGATGCCACAGTGTCTTAATAAGCAGATGAAACTTCAGAGTTTCTATAGGGTGATATTGTGATAATATTGTTTTATTGTGATGATCATAAACTGAAAATGTAATATCTCAAAGCCTCAGGTGGTATGATATGGAAAATATAGCATCCACACAGCAGGGGGCGCTCTGTAAAATAAACGTAACACTTTCTGTGTATGACAGCAGGCGCCTGTTACAGGTACCCCACCTTTGCTTTGATGGGGGTGAAACAGGCGGGGCAGCTGGATCGTTGGCACCTCAGACCCTCGAAGCCCGGTCTGCACCGACACTGCCCGGAAGCATCGCATTGATCGGACTCCGAGCGCTGGACGTCACAGTTACACGCTGACGGGAAAACAGGAAAAAATGTTACTGCTGGATCACATCTGGAAAACCGTCACAGCACAAAAAGTGTAATTAAAAGGTGCACCAGCAGGGGGCAGCATCCCACCTGTGGGGGTGTTCAGAAGTTTCCAGATGTGGGCCAATGTTTTGTGCTTTAAAGGACTTTGAAACTTTAATATAAACTAGCTTTGCTCAAATTAATGATCATGTTGTTTTTTAAACTTGGTTCAAATTTAAATTCAATTTTCACTTCACTGTTTTCTGTAACTGATGCTTATTCTGCATATTCATCAAGTAAATGATCAATAGAGCACCAAAGAAAAACAAGATTGAGCTTAGCGTTGATCAGCTGATACACTTTAACACATCGAGGTAACCACAGCCATGTTTAAGCTGTTTTAGCTGCACACAGTTGCTGGGCAGCTGCATGCTGCTTTGCAACCCAACACCACCATCAAAAACCACAATTCTGATGATTTTCTTTGCTGTGAGCTTAAGATTATTAAACAGCTTCTCTCTGAGCAGCTCATGAAACTGAAACATGTCAGTTCTGTTTGTAAAAAAACAGTTTTACTGCTTTCTGACATCTAAGATTCAATTTTACAGTAAAGAACACAAAGATTTCCCTGCAGATGAAACCCAGACGTCTACATCAGAAACTCCTCTGACTGCGTCGTTCTTACGTTTGCAGGCGTCGGTGGGCTGCCTGTGGTAGAAACCTCTCACGCAGTCCTCACAGTGCCGTCCCTTCGTGTTGTTCACGCACTTCAGGCATTCGCCGCTGTTGCGGTCGCAGCTTCCCAGCACTCTGACGTCGATGTGACCATTACAGTGGCAGGGTGTGCAGGGACGCTGCACACCTCCGGTACCCAGGGGGTCGCCATAATAACCTTCCTGACAAACGTCACAGCGAGGACCTGAGGACAGAGACACACAGTCAGGTTAGAATATTCTAGAATTATTCAAATTCAACTAAAGACGTTTAAGAGCTGAAACAAAACATCAACTAAACATCATGTTGTTGATGTCATCTCACCAGAGGTTCCTGATGGGCACCTCTCGCAGCGAGGCTCCAGAGAACCTGGACCCAGTGAGCAGGACACGCCGTCCGCGCAGGGACACCTCACGCAGGTCTCCGGCCACCTCGGGTCTCTGTAGAAGCCCTGGGAACAGCTCTGATCCGCGGGCGTCTCATCGGCAGAGTAACAGTCTCCAGTTTGCGGGTCGCAGCTGCCTCCTCTGCAGCTGCAGGGCTCACAGGGGCTGAAGGCTCCATCTGCGGGGTCTCTGCGTTTGAAACCGGGCGCACACCGCTGACAGAACTCGCCCTCATGACCCGGCGGGCAGCTGCAGGTGTGCACCCAGCGGGCCGGGACGCCGTCTCCACGCTGCGCAGTCACCAGCTGCACGCTATCGAGGTAGCCACGTCCTGAAAAAAGAAACAACTCATGAAACTGTGTGCGAGAGCTGCTCATCCTTCACTCTTTGTTGTTCTTTTCTTGGATTTTATCTCTTTCTTCTCTGTGGAAGAGAAGGAAAAGGGCTCACCGGTGTCTCCAAACGTTGCTCGGATCTTGATGGCTGTGAGGTTCTGCAGGAGCGTCTGGAACTGCAGGGCGGAGAGCTGAGGCCTCCACTTGCTGCCGGGCCGCTCGTCCAGTCTGTTCAGAAAAAGACAGAAGTTCAAACAATGTTTCAGGAAGACGACGTCTTCTCCCTGCACTGTCCTTCAACATGGAACCTCATGAACCTCCGAGAAAACAGGAATCATTCTGATGTGTTTCTTCTTATTGCTTTGCTAATATTTGGACTGCAAGTGACTTCTTGACTAAATCAATCCAGATGTGTAGCCAGATGTGCAAACAAGAAAGAATTTGGTATCACGATGACATTAAATCTCATTAAATGTATCAGAGTCTGAGAGAAATTCTGATTCGGCTCATTGCATTCAGCTCCGAAGGTCCATCATAGTTTCACCCACGTGTGCATGAGGAGAGAGGCATGAAGAACATCTGCAGGTCAGACTCCACGTTTATTGGAGCAGTGCTGTTCCACCCACTTTCTCCACATCGCTCATGCAGTAAATCCCTCGTAAACACAGCCAGGTACTGACGGAGTGCCTGAGATTCTTGCTGCGTCTCTACTTGTTGTGATTAACAGCCTCGCCTCAGGAATGTTCATGCCTCAGAGAAGCCTGGCTGTCTGAACCTTTGATAGCTGGGCTGGAAACGTTTTCACATTCCTGCTGGACAAATGATGTCACACAGAGATGCCAGTCACAGTGTAAGTGGGAGCTATTCTGCCTCATCAAAACACGACACCTGATATTTCAGGCCAGTGTTCTCAAACTGCAGAGCTGCTGCAGGCGGCTGGAACAATGCATTAAAGTTCAATGACTTTCACTAACATTCATTTATAGCAGAAACTGAGGAGAAAGCAGCAGTGACAGTCCCACTAATGCCCACCAGGGGCTCCAGCAGTGAGTCCCCACAGACTCCCATCCATCCATTCGCTTCCGCTGATCCTTTTCAGAGTCGCTGGGGGCGCTGGAGCCTATCCCAGCTGTCATAGGGCGAAAGGTGGGGTACACCCTGGATAGGTCGCAGGGCTCCCACAGACTCCAGTGGGAGTTAAGACTTAAGTTTTAAAGTTTGCATTATTGCGGGCGTGGCCTCTTTGACTGACAGGTGGATGGTGACACAGGTGGCTGTAGCTGCTAGCTGGACCTCTGAGCCTTTTTACTCCAATTATCTGACCAATAATAACACCCGACCAATCAAATCTGTTCTCCACGTCATGTTTAGCGCTTCAGTCAAACTTTCAGCGACTTCACACCGTGGATTTTCTGACCTGAAGCTGTAGGTGATCTTCTGACCACAGGGGACCACAGATCGCAGGTCACCCAGAGAGGCAGCGACTCTTAAGCCGCCACCTTCCAGGATCACGTCGTTGACGGACGGGTATCGGACACCGCGGTCCAAACGCAGCGAGAAGGAGAGGTTCTGGCCGTAACTCAGCAGCTGGTTCCCGAGGTAAGAGTCTGTGAGAAAGGAGAACATCAGTCATGACAGGAATGAAAAGAAAGACAAAGAAGTGTGGGTGGGGCTATGCTGTTAGAAGAGGTGGGGCTTGACTCACCTGGGGCATACAGGTAAACCGGCAGGCTGTTTTTGGAGATCACCTCCACGTCCTGGTGTTTCGGTGACCAGCGGAAGTGAGTATCGGCTGGAGTCGCACCTTGCATCGTCCCCACCTTCCAGTCCTCCACACCTGAAGCACACCAGAGTCTGTCACCTCACTTATTGTGCACTTTTACTTTGAAATGTAGGAAATGTTAGGGTTCTTTTATTATGAAGGTAACGAAGGAGAAAGGTTTACCGGTGGTGAAGGTGGAGGTGATTTTGTGGACCGAGTAACCGGATCGTGCTGAACATCGGCTGCTGTGGCCGTAACAGAAACACGGCAGAGTCAGACTCTCAGATTCCTGCCTGGGCTGACGGCTGAAAACGCAAGAAACAACAGGAAGTGAGCCATGTACTATCAAAATAAGACAGGAGAATATTTCTGTGAACTAAAAACTGAAAAATAATGCAAAGAAGGCTGTGGAAGAAGTGGGCTGTTTAAAACTGCTCAGATGTGTTTGTATTCATCTGAAGCACATAAAGTACTTAAAGCTACTTAAAAACCTGTAATGGAAAGATGGAAGCCAAGCACTGAAATCAATAGAAAAGAGCTGTGGGCTGAAGTTAAGGACTGAAAACTGTAAAGTGACTGAAGACGGAATTCAATGTAAACATTTTTTAACTGCAGTTACAAAACCATTCATCAAATAAAAGACACCAAATGTAAGCAATGACATGCATTAAAGTGCACTGAAGGTGTTGAGAATTGAAGCATATGAGGAAACATTTGTCTCTCACCTTTGGGGGCAGCCGTCAGCTCCGATTGGTCCGTTGGGGCAGCGGTCACATTTGTCTCCTGTGACGCCTTCTTTACAGCTGCAGCGCCCCGTGCTGTCACATGACTTGCTGACAGAACCTGAGGAAAAACAAGCCCGGGCAGAACAACTCAAGTAAACGATGACATCGGTTCGTCGTCAGCCCCAAGTGGCCATTAAAGGAACTGCAGCTTCATTTTTCCACAGCGAGTTAACACATTGAAGCAAAAAGGTTCAGCCTCTCATGTTTGGAAACTGTGTTTTATGAGACCGGGAAAGTAAATGTGTCGCCTCTAAAGACGTGCCAGGAACACAGAAAGGTTCAGACAGTTTTGATGAGGCATGTTTGAGGTGTAGTTTTCGTTTCCAATAAAAACATAATGAACTTACAGGATATGTGGAGGATTGTATCGATCTGATCTGGTGCCAGCGTTGGTACTGATACTATGGATATTTGAATTGATCCTCCCACCTCTGCTCTCTGGTTTGTACGTCTAACATTTTCCACACATAAGGGTTTTGTGAGACTTGCACTCACCTGTAGGGTTGCAGCGGCAGGGCGAGCAGCTCTGTCCCGCCCCCTGCAGGTAGAAGCCATCCTTGCAGCGCTCGCAGTTGCGGCCTTCCGTGTTTCCCTGACAGTCGACGCAGTGCAAACCCAACGCGTCGTGCAGGCAGTACTGAGATCTCCCATTGCACTCACAACGCATTATCGCTGCATGAGAAAGTAAGAGGTCAAAGGTCAAGTTTATTTTGATTTCTTTTAAATGATTTTTTGTACAATAACTGTTTGTAGATGCACTTCCATGCATTTTTGTGGCTTCACAGGTGTTGGACTGGTGCTTTTCCAGTCTGACCACAGGAAGTGCTTGCATTATTGTAAGGACTGTGGGAGGAAGCTGGCTGTTTACATTTCAGTTGTGCACTTTCTTCTGTTCTCCACTTTCCCTTCAGCTTGCATGTGAATTACTTGTTTTGTTCGTATTGTGATGGTGAAAGAAAAGAAGGCACATCCACAAGCTTCCTGAGCTTTAATCTAACAAACAGGAGCATTAGAGATGTTTACAGAGTGTGAAGCGTTTCATATGTTTTGTGGTTTGTTCTGAAATCCCAGCAAGAGCCTGCACACAAATCATCACAATCTGACCAGCCCCGCCCAAAACAGCCAGCACCTCAGCCCCTTCTGTGTGCAGCGAGCTCATCGGGATCACGGCTCAGAAAAGCAGCCCTGAAAAGACTTGCACCCGCTCCTTTAAAGCTTTGATTGAAACTGAGGGAGAGTTTCAACAGGCTGCTGCTTGTTCCTGCTGTTGGCAGAGAGGGCCGATCTCCCCCGCAGTGAATGCAGCAACAGCAGTTTGTGGTAAACCAGAGCAATGATGAAAAAAGTGAATCACAAGGCAGCCTGCAGGGGCAGCCTGGTACAGAGAAACATTTCATGATTTTATTATTGCACCCTTTGCAGTGACCATCCTGGCAATGCAGCAGAAAGGGGACGACCACCAAACTGTTCTCATCCAGGAGGATATGATGTCACTGCAGCCACAGGATATGATGTCACTGCAGCTAATAAGCTGCCGCAGATCTTTTTCTGTGTGTTTTGGGTCTGTTTGGTGTTTGTGTGTTAAGCTGTGCCTCTGAAGCATTATTGCATCAATATTTACACAACACACATGCGAACGTTCGCCCCTGACCGACATCAGGGCGATCGGGAGTCTGACCGACAGCTGGGATCAAGTTACAGAAACCAGGTTTACCAAGTGACCATGAAGGCCAGAGATTTCCCTCAAACTTCAACTCGGACTCGCAGACTGTCTCCCGTGTGTCAGCGTCAATAAGCCACGCTTCTCTCTGTTGTTCTGCCAGGAGAATCCGAGCTGATGCAACTGTGGCACCAGCTGTTTACTCAGGTGAGGTGACCTCAGTCACAAACATCTCGAGCCGCTGGACTTAATCAGCATGAAGTTTGGAGGCAGAGGAAATGTTTCATGTCCCTGTGTTACTGTCCTGAGCTCAACGTGAACCTCACACAGCTGATGAGGAAAAACTCATTTTAAACAGGGTTTTGGGGTTTTTTGAAAGTGTGTTGAGAAAATATCCCCCAGTGATCGGTGGCAGAGGGCTGCCCCCTCCCAGGTTCTGTTGGACGTCTCCTCTTGTTCCTTCCCAGCATCACCAAGTGCTGCTCATAGGGTGTGTCTGACTTTGGGGGTTTTCTTGAACACGTCCTGTCC